ATATGTAAATGATGACGAAATTGTAACCGAAGTGCCTAATATTGACGTGTAGAAAAGTAAGATTCACATCTGTAAGAAGAGTAGAAACATACATACATACAAGTAGGAGTAGATGTGTGTTTGTTCCTGTGTTTAAATCTACTAGTATCAAACTATCTGACAAACTTGACTTCCTCCGACTCTAGATCAACGGATGCGAAGTTGAACCTGACAGTTACTTTTCTATGAGGTGAGTGGCGTCCATGGGTATTGTGTGTGTGTGTGTGTGTGTGTGTGTGTGTGTGTGTGTGTGTGTGCGTGCGTGCGTGCGTGCGTGCGTGCGTGCGTGCGTTCGTGCGTGTGTGTGCGTGTGTGTGTGTGTGTGATATAGCATTTTTCATCACAGATTTATCAGTTATGGAATAGAATAGATTTAATTTAATACATTTACAAAAATCAACAGAAAGTTTATTTTGAAAATCCTGTTTTGCCACCGTGAAATTGCCTTGGATGCCTTTAAATAAACATGCAATTTCTGTAACTGTAACAGTCAATGTAACTGTAATCTCACAGCACTGGAGCCATCGTAGGCATTGTCGTGGGTAGTCTCGCCTTCATCGCCATCGTCATCGCGGTGTGCTGCTGCTGCTGCTGCGCCTGTTGCCAGTCTAACCGCCAGTGTAAGTACCGTGGTTTATCATAGAGAATAACTTACGTCAAACTATAATGTCTCAACTTAGAAAAAGAGACATTAGAAGAAAGGGGAAAAGGACAGCTAAGGAAAGAAGGGTTTAGAAAAAACCTTATGTGAATCTAATATCATTGTGAAACCTCCATGGACACACCGATGGCGATGACGTACATTTATCGACCTTTCTTGCACGCTTATGCCGTTTCAAGGATCAATTAGTCATGTATAAAGCAGAAGTAATATTACAGACATCATCATCATCATCATCATGCCTCCGGATTATACTAATCCGGTGAGGTACACTTGATAAAGTTACTCCAGTATGTCCTATCTCTCATAGCGGACACTAATGCAGGCCCTGCGAGACCAGTGTCTCTCTCTAGCATGGTCAAAAGTGTAGTATAAGGACGTCCCACTCTACGTCTCCCAGTAGGAAGCCAGACATTATCTTACTACAACTATACAGACTAATATGAATTGCTATTTACACTTCTTGTCACTACTTTATGCGGTTGTACGTGTATAAGTATGAACATGTGGAACTTGAAATACGTGGTTTATCTACCACAAGGAATATGAATTTCAACGCTCTATCCTGATATTGGGAGGTAATGTCTTAATGTTTAGGCTGACGACCAGCTGCTAACAAAACCCCGGGCAGTTACAAAATGGTAACGATCTTCTCTCCCAATATCTGTCCGTATGCGGAGGACAAACTAGTAAACTCTTCCCTTTCTCCCTAGCTCCGACGACGACTGTGGTCCAGGGGCAACAGGCAGCTGGCGTCACCGTGGCGCAGACCACGTACCCCGCCCAGCCGTACCCGCAGTACCCGCCAGGCACCGAGATGACCCAGTACCCCCCTCCAGGAGCACAGTTCCCCCCTACAGGAGCACAGTATCCCCCAACAGGAGCACAGTACCCCCCTACAGGAGCACAGTACCCCCCTCCAGCCCCGGTGTACGCCCCACCAGGCCAGCAGCCACCGTACCCAGTCGCCCAGGGTGACATGGCCTACCCCCCTCCCTACCCAGGGCAGGGCGCCCCGCCCATGAAACAGTGAAACCCCGTCACTAGTGCTGATGTTTCTAAAAGTGTGTTTTTCTTTAACAAAAAGTATATATAGTTCAGGATGATGGCATAATGGTTACTACAACATTCCCTTCTTGAAGCACACATTTAAGTATGCGCTTGTACGTAAAACTAAAGGTCCTGTTTCTTCCCTTGAGTGTACTTTAAGACAGGATTCTATGTAGTGGGTTTTGTACTTTAGATCTATAGTTGTGTCTGGTGTTAAAGGTTATTGGCAATCAACTAAAATTTGTAAGGAATATGTGTTCAGCATAAAGGATCAATTGAAATATTATAAGTACCACCATGAAATACTTTGTTGATAGTGTGACCAATATTAAATGTTCCACTCGCTCAGGGTTCCTTCTCTTTACTTAGTACATTTTCATCAGTTCAGCCTTACGAATACTATTTTGATATCCAGTCTACTGTGGCATGGGTGGAGTTTTGTGCTGGGAGTTTACGGTCTCATTCATTTTCGATACATTAGAAACCATGCATTAATGAGTGACTTACCAGACCGTGTTCCCTATGATCCTACATTAAATCAATTGCTATGTTAAGAACACTTACTCTACATCTCATAAAAAATTGCCAACGACTTCTATACACACAACCCCTTTGATGGCAATTACAAACTGCACTTAGCGGCTGTCCGCAAGAGGCTCCCGCGCTGCAAACCTACGACCGCACAACTCACAACACTGGACTGTGCACGTCCGACCTAGCGCGCGGCTGCGGACAATTACGTCCTAATTTCATCAGTTACAAACAAGCTTTCACCGCTTTGACGTTTTACATCAGGATGGCTAAAGGGAGAATTCTCACCAATAAAAACACGCGTTCATACAGCCGTTTAGTTTTTGACTTGGTACTCTTTTAGGGGTACACTCGGAGTAATACATGAATGAGACCTTAATAACTCAAACCGCGCACAGAACTCCTACTCAGTAAATAATTAAGCTGGAGCGTCACGAAGCTACTAGTCGGTGTCCTGTAGTAGTTTAATGAGTTTAATGAAGGACTGCCCCAAGAGGGTCCAATTGTAGTGACGAGGGAATGAGGAAAAAGAAAAGACGCCAATGAAAGATTGTATATCCCTCTGGAAGAGATATGAAAGAAGGGGGTTGGGGTTCGGCAGGAAAAAGGGGCTTGGCTACACATAGGGTGGAGGGTGAAAAGTAGCAACATTGTTTACACAAAATCCAAGTACCATATTTATCTATTTATTTTAAAAATCAAATTGCAAAGCTTTTGTAACATTCAATGCTTGCAACCTTGCACTATTCATATTGTAAGGAATTTTCTTCTCTCACAGCACGCACTGTAATATATATAGTCTTTACTGTTGTACTGACAATCTTGCAAAATACGTACACGTCATCATATATCATCTCCAGAATATAAGCAAAACATATAAACTTTGCTGGATCTCATTGTGTAAAAATCTACTGCATGTCAAGTACGTATACAGTCACTTTGGTAACTGTCACATTTACAATGACATGTTTCCTTATTACTTTTTAAGGTCTTAAGTCCATATTTGGTCCCTTAAACATCTTGATCGAAATGTTGACCTCCAGTTCATTCAAGGATGCTATACCAACCTCTTTATACTATACTAAAAGACAGTATTGGGCAGCTATATTACATTGAGAGTCAAAGTAAACTATTATGCATGAAAACTGCATTCATTGTCAAGTTTGGAATGTACACATTACTAAATTATTAACCAACAATATATTATTATGGCTTACATTTTCCAATTTCATTGAGGAATGATCACTGTTGGATCCAAATACTAATTGTTACACCAGTCACATAACTCACTTGGGAAGTACCACTTGTTACTCATTAAGTCATTACCTATTCTCACAACAATAGATACAATTTACAAAACTGTTACCAAATACAGAACAAAAGCCGCTGCAGTACATCTAATGTATTGCAACAATTGAAGAGCTGGGTAAAAGACACCATAAGCAACAATGTCAATGATTTGTGTATCATCTTGCCACACCTAAGGTTTCAGCTTGTGTGGCTCACACCAGCCTCTAGGCAGGTGGCTGGGTTTTGGTCTCTGCAGGTGGCCCTGCAGGTGGCTGACCAGCTGCAGCTGCTGTCCCAATGGTGGACTGTTGCATGTAAGGGGGCAGAGCCTGGGCAACATAGTACTCTTGCATGGGAGCACCTGAAGGGTACTGATGCTGGGCGATGAACACCTGCTGCTGTGGTATGCCCCCAGCTGCACTGACAGTCGTGTACGGGGCACCTTCTGTACCTGGAACACCTGGAACAAGACCAGCAATGATTAGATGCCCCAACATCTGACTGCTTCCCACATTCTTTTTTTTTCAGACCTTAAGAACAAAACATCTGTGATACCAAATACCAATACCAAGTACATGTTGATGATTACCATTCTAGGCAGACAATATTTAAACAATATCATCTTTATATCTTTATGTCTTTGCCATCCTGTAACAGACAACACCCTAATACTTGAGTGATAAGAGACAAAATGTTTACCTGTTTGCATAATGACATAGGCAGCTTGCCCATGTGTCATGTTAGGTCCCTGCTGGTTGTACACAACCACCTGATGAAAAAGAAGAATTTTATGTTATGTTGACGTTACCAGGGACCAAGATGTGAGTGTGAGTGTGATGACGATGTGTGACTCAAATAATTGGTCGTCTTGGTGATTTGAATTGGACTAACACATAAATAATGTATCATTAGCTCTGTCTAATGAAGAAGAAATATTTTGTAATAGTTAATTAGCGATTACGAGCATTAAAGAATCATGACTTCTTATTTTGCTAAGCCAGTCTTTTCCTCCTAACATCTGCTTGGTTTTCATTCTTTCGGTAATTCATCTGACACCAAATCATGGAACGAACGAACAAGAGAAGGTGCTACAGTACTCAACACAAAACCATGAAAAAAAACTAGCACTGTAACATAATCATTACAGTCAGGACAGATAGTAATTTTTGTCACATGCTGTTTTTGAAATACTGTCAATTTTCCAAGTGATGTTAAAATAACATTCTGACACCTGAGACGTTTTGTATGATGCTGGACTGTTGACCATCTATCTATGACAGTCTTTCACACTTACGGGAGCATCGTTGGGATTGTTCCTAAGACGGCAACACGCCAGTCCGCAACACGGCATGATGGCAGCCACGAAGGCCATGACGACCTCGGTAAAAGCCAGCACAGCGTTCACCACATGCAGGGCAATGGATGCTGAGTCACAGCCATAGCGGTACCTTGCCGGGACGGAAACATTTTTATTTATGAGAGACTCAAACTGGCCTAAAGCTGTAAGCTTTTCATTAAGGTCATGGTTCAGAAAAATAAACATTTACATCATTTGAAGTCCTATGTGTAAATGCATCCACATAATTTTACACATATATACGTGGTACAAAAAAACACACAGAACAAGGAAAGCTGGTATCTGGTTTGTGTCCATTTGCAAGTTCCTTAATTAATAATGCTTACGATTATAGGGGGAGGGGAGTCAGGACTGAGAAAAAGAGACCGTTATTTGTTTATGGAAATAGACGCTGGCCTTAAAGGGTCTGCTCTAGTGACCACCATATGCATGAGGGACAGGGACAGAACCTTACCAAACGTACCTCACCGGATTAATCCGGAGGAAAGAGGATGATGATAATAGTGGCCAGACGGCTGGCTTGTTTAGGTGGTCTTCTGGACAAGCTTGACAAGTTTGACCGTATTATGTAGCACAATCGAAGGCTCGTCAATTGTAAAGTCTCACCTTATATAGCCATAGATGTCATCATAATAAGGACATATATAACGTTCAGAGGCTGCGCCACCAAAGGCTATTACGAAGCAGCCAATTGCGGTAATGATTGTGAAGATTCCCAGTACCATAACAGCCACCATCTATCAAAGAAAAACACCATGTTATTGGAGGTAATAAACACGTATATTTGTGAACCCCAAATAGCTACTAGCAGTACAATTGTCAGTTTTTTAATAAGTTGTTCAGAACATATTATGACCTTGAGTGTGATGTATATCTGTACGTCTCAGTTTGTTTGTATGTATTTATGTCTGTATGTGTGCGTTTATGTATGTAATATCGAAGAATCAGTAACCTACCAGACCCTTGCTTGTTGGTTTTTTCCCACTGTTAATCGCCAAGATACCAGTTATGACAACCTAGTGGAAAAGATGTACAACTTCATTACAAGTATGCATGCATGTGTCAATATGCCATATCCAGTGGTATTACAATGGAAAAAGGACAATATCAATATAGTCTTGGCAACAAAGCAACGCTATATGAGGACAAAATTATCGATGGTAAGATTGTAACTAAAAATCCTAGTAAAATTAAGCGTCTAAAGACTTGTACTTACAAAAATGCCATTCCAAATGGGAGCACTGACGTAGTGTTCGATTGCGTATGCACCCATGGACCCAAACGCAGCGTCGGCGGCTATACCCAGGATAATGTTGAGAGATCCCATCACCACAAGGGTCCAGCCCATGCCGTGCATGTACTTTCCGTTGTACGCCATGGTTCACAGTGATGCAGTCCTGGGTTAGATCGCTCAATTCAAGCTATTTCCCGAAATATTTCTCAGAAAATAAGAAGAATGGGGGAAACATTTCCTGGTCAAAGTCCAAAAACACCCTAATCAGACGGTGTAAGGTAAACATCCGCATCCTCACCTTTTTGTTCAGCGTTACCAGTTAATGATTACTTCTTTGTCACGTCATGTGTGGGGTCATGGCTTGCTTGCATACTATTTAGGAATACGTGTTCAGCATAAATTGACAAGTTGAAATATGCCATACTTTGTGTTAATCCATGACTTATATCAAATGGTCCAATTCCTTCTCTTTGCTTAGTGAGTTCTTATCATCAGTTAAGTTCAACTCCCAGTCTAGAGCGCCACGAAGTTACGGTCAACTTATGAATAGACCAGAAGCGGCCTCTAGCAGTTAAATGAAGGACTGCACAATGATAATTGGCACTGAGAGACTCCAATTGCAGTGATTTCTCTAAAAGAAAAGATGCCAATGAAAGATTGTATCCTTCTGGAAAAAATTAAAGAAGGGGTTGCGGTTCGGTAGGAAAAGGGGCTTGGCTAAACACAGGGCTGAGGGTGAAAAGTAACAACATACCCAAAATCCAAGTACCATATTTATTCAATCCAAACTTTTTGTAACATACATGCTTGCAATATTCATATTGTAAGGAAACTTTATTGTTTCACAGCACACTGCAATATATAGTCTTTACTGTTGTATTGACAATCTAGCAAACTATGTTATATTATCTCTGTAAAATATATGGAAAACAAATGAATTATGCCGGATCTCTATGCGCAAAGCTGTACTACATGTAAAGTGCAAATAGCTGTTACACAACCACATTTAAAATGAAATGTTTCCTTATTGCTGTTTGTGGTCTTACAGTTGTGATTTGAATATTAACCCCCGATTCATCCAGAGTTTCTATACCAACTCCATTACATCATACTGAGAGTCAAACTATTACGCATGAAAACTGCATTCATTGTCAAGCTTGGAATGTACACGTCACTAAATAATTAATCAAGAGTATCTCATTATGGCTTACATTCTCCAGTTTCATGGAGGAATGATCATTGTTGGATCCAAACACTAATTATTACATCAATCACTTTAGTTACTTGTAAAAGACCGCTTATTAGCTATTCTCACAAAAATATATCCCATACAATTTACAAAACTGTTAACAAATGCAGAACAAAAGCGGATGCAGTACACCTAATATACAACAACAAAACTGCTGGCTAACAGACTCTTTAGCAACCAGGATTTTCGTATCCTCTTGTCACACCTAAGCCTTTAGCTTTTATAGCTCACTCCAGCCTCTAAGCAGGTGGCTGGGTTTTGGTCTCTGCAGGTGGCCCTGCAGGTGGCTGACCAGCTGCAGCTGCTGCCCCAATGGTGGACTGTTGCATGTAAGGGGGCAGAGCCTGGACACCATAGTACCCTTGCATAGGAGCACCTGCAGGGTACGGATTTTGGGCGATGAACACCTGCTGCTGTGGCATGCCCCCAGCTGCACTGATAGTCGTGCACGGAACACCTTGTGCACCTGGAACACCTGGAACAAGACCAGCAATGATTAGAGGCTCAGTAGAATTATATGCGCCCCAACATCTGACTGCTTGCCACATTCTTTTTTTCAGACCTTAAGAACAAAACATCTGTGATACCAAATACCAATACCAAGTACATGTTGATGATTACTGTTCTAGGCAGACAATATTTAAACAATATCATCTTTATGTCTTTGCCATCCTGTAACAGACAACACCCTAATACTTGAGTGATAAGAGACAAAATGTTTACCTGTTTGCATAATGACATAGGCAGCTTGCCCAGGTGACATGTTAGGTCCCTGCTGGTTGTACACAACCACCTGATGAAAAACAAGAATATTTTGTTTACGTTTCCAGGGACCAAGATGGGAATATCTGGTTGGGTGGTGTGAGTGTGATGACGATGTGTGACTCAAATAATTGGTCGTCTTGGTGATTTGAATGGGACTAACACATAAATAATGTATCATTAGCTCTGTCTAATGAAGAAGAAATATTTTGTAATAGTTCATTAGCGACTACGAGCAGTAAAGAATCACATGTGACTTCTTGTTTTGTTAAGGCAGCCCTTTCCTCCTGACATGTGCTTGGTTTTCATTCGTTTCATTCATTTCATTCATTCATCTGACACCCAATCATGGAACGAACGAACAAGAGAAGGTGCTACAGTACTCAACACAAAACCATGAAAAAACTAGCACTGTAACATAATCATTACAGTCAGGACAGATAGTAATTTTAGTCATATGCTGTTTTCATAATACTGTCAATTTTCCAATTGACTTTTAGATGACATTCTGAAACCTGATATTTGAAATGCTTTTTTATAATGTTGGACTGATGACAATGTATCTATGGCAGTCTTTCACACGTTACGGGGGCATCGTTGGGATTGTTCCCAACACGGCAACACGTCAGTCCGCCACACGGCATGATGGCAGCCACGAAGGCCATGACGACCTCGGCAAAAGCCAGCAGAGCGTTCACCACATGCAGGGCGATGGATGCTGATGCACAGCTATAGCCGTACCTGGGCCGGGACGGAAACATTTTTATTTATGAGAGACTCAAATCGGCCTAAAGCTGTAAGCTTTTTATTAAGGTCATGGGTCAGAAAAAATACAAATTTACATCATTTGAAGTCCTATGTGTAAATAAATCCATATAAATTTACACATGCATAATTTTACAAAAACCACACAGATCAATGAAAGCTGGTTTCTGGTTTGTGTCCATTTGCAAGTTCCTTGATTAATAATGCATACGATTATAGGGGGGTTGGTCAGGACTGAGAAAAAGAGGCCGTAATTTGTTTATGGATAAGGATGCTGGCCTCACAGGGCCTGCTCTAGTGTCCACCAAGAGGGAAAGGGACAGGACCTTATATTATCAAACGTACCTATACTGACATATCTCATGTCGATAATATGTGTCAGTAATGGCTCCACCAACGCCCAGGGCGAAGCAGCAAATTGCAGAAATGATTGTGAGGATCCCCAGTACCATAACAGCCACCATCTATCAAAGAAAAACACCATGTTATTGGAGGTAATAAACACGTGATATTTGTAAACCCCCAAATACCTACTAGCAGTACAATTGTCAGTTTTTGAATAAGTAATTACAAGTTGTTCAAAACATATTATGACCTTAAGTGTGATGTATGTTTGTATGTCTCAGTATGTTTGTATGTCTGTATGTGTGTGTTTATGTATGTAATATCGAAGAAGCAGTAACCTACCAGACCATTGCTTGTTGGTTTTTTCCCACTGTTAATCGCCAAGATACCAGTTATGACAACCTGTGGAAAAGATGTACAACCTCATTACACGTCTCTCTCTCTCTCTGGTTGTCCATCTTTTCAGTTGATCATTATAAGTATTCATGTGTCAATGTTAATCTCCAAGCAGATCTTTTGGTGGGGTAAGACAGTATCAAATTTGAGTCTGTAACCATTTCCCCACCCTTGGGTCAATGTTTATGAATGTGCCATTTCCAGTGGTAACTATAGAAAAAAGGACAATATCAATATAAAGCAACGCTATATGAGGACAAAATGATCGATGGTAAGATTGTAACTAAAATGCTTGTAACATGAAGCGTCTAAAGACTTGTACTTACAAAAATGCCATTCCAAATGGGTGCACCGACGTAGTGAATGGTTGTGTATGCCCGCATGGAGGCAAACGCAGCGTCGGCGGCTATACCCAGGATAATGTTGAGAGATCCCATCACCACAAGGGCCCAGCCCATGCCGTGCATGTACTTTCCGTTGTACGCCATGGTTCACAGTGATGCAGTCCTGGGTTAGATCGCTCAATTCAAGCTACTTCCCGAAAAATTTCTCAGAAAATATGGGGGAAACATTTCCTGGTCAAAGTCCAAAAACACCCTTATCAGACGGTGTAAGGTAAACATCCGCATCCTCACCTTTTTGTTCAGCGTTACTAGTTAATGATTACTTCTTTGTCACGTCATGTGTGGGGTCATGGCTTGTTTGCATACTATTTAGGAATACGTGTTCAGCATAAATTGACAAGTTGAAATATGCCATACTTTGTGTTAATCCATGACTTATATCAAATGGTCCAATTCCTTCTCTTTGCTTAGTGAGTTCTTATCATCAATTCAGCTCCCAGTCTAGAGCGCCACGAAGTTACGATCAACTTAGAATTGAATAGACCAAAAGCGGCCAGTTTAATGAAGGACTGCACCATGATAATAGACAAGAGGCTTCAATTGCAGTGATTTCTCTAAAAGAAAACAAAAGGTGACAATGTAAGATTGTATCCTTCTGGAGGAAATGAAAGAAGGGGACTGGGGTTCGGTAGGAAAAGGGGCTAAGGTACACGCAGGGCTGAGGGTGAAAAGTAACAACATACCCAAAATCCAAGTAGCATGTTTATTCAAGTTTTGTAACATTCATTCTTGTGCTTTTCATAATGTATGGGAACTTTCTTCTGTCACAGCACATTGCAACGTTAACGTATAATATTATACAGTCTTTACTGTTGTATTAGCAATCAATCGAGGGACAAGCAATCTAGTGCTAGCAAAATATGTTATATCATCTCTATAAAATATATGCAATACAAATGAATTGTGCTGGATCTCATTGTGCAAAACTGTACTGCATGCATGTCAAGTACAGATATCTGTTTGGCAACTTGGCAACTGTCACAATAAAAATGAAATGTTTCCTTCTCACTGTTTCTGGTCTTAACATTCCACACTTAGTCCCTTAAAATCATCTGTTTTCTATACCAATTGTTACAACCACAGTAAGTTATACTGCAAGACAGTATTGGGTAGCTACATCATATTGAGAGTCAAAATGAATTACATTGCACATTGTATTTTCATAATAACTACATTCATAGTAAAATTTGGAATGCACACATCATTAAATCATTTAACAGTATCTTATTATGGCTTATACACACATTCCAATTTCATTGAGGAATAATCACTGTTGTATCGAAACATTAATTGTTACACAAATACGTTACTTGTAAAGTACCACTCGTTAGAAATTCTCACAAAAATAGACCCTACTGTATATGATTTACAAAACTGTTACCAAATACAGAACGAAAAACCAATACAGAAAACCTTTGATACAGAAACAAAAAGGCAGGGTAGAAGACCCATTAGCAACAATGTTTTGTGTACCATATAGCTCACTCCAGCCTCTAGGCAGGTGGCTGGGTTTTAGTCTCTTCAGGTGGCCCTGCAGGTGGCTGTCCAGTTGCAGGTGGCTGACCAGCTGCAGCCCCAATGGTGGACTGTGGCATGTAAGGAGGGGGAGCCTGGGCACCATAGTACCCCTGCTGCATGGGAGCACCTGCGGCATATGGGTGCTGGGCGATGAACACCTGCTGCTGTGGCATCCCTCCAGCTGCACTGACAGTCGTGTAGGGAACACCTTGTGCACCGGTACCTGGAACACCTGGATAAGACCAACAAGGATTAGAGCGTAGTAAAACTATATGTGCCCCAACATCTGACTGCTTGCCACACTATTTTCTTGCAGACCTTCAGAACAAAACATCTGTGATACCAAATACCAATACCAAGTACATGTTCAACTTGATAATTGTTATTCCAGTAAGACCATCTTTAAATGATATCATCTTTATGTCTTTGCCATTCTATAACAGACAACACCCTAAACTTTTGAATAATAAGAAATTAAGTGTTTACCTGTCTGCACAATCACATAGGCAGCCTGTCCAGGTGCCATGTTAGGTCCATGCTGGTTGTACACAACCACCTGAGGGGAAACAAGAAATGGTTTTAAAAAGGCTGGCCAGGGGCCAAGATGGGAATTAGTCTGGTTGGGTGGTGGGAGTTTGATGACAGTGCATGACTCATATCATTGGTCACCTTGCAGTTGGTGACTTAAATTGGACTTGTACTAATAATAAGTAAATGCACAATGTACCATGGTCTCTTTCTAAATATAATGGGGAAGAGATATTTTGTAAAATAGGCTATATGATAATAACATTAACCCTTTATTAGACACCCCTACATTAAGACCCCTCTATGTCAGTAAACAATTAGATCACAGAAGAAAAAACTAGCACTGTACTATAATCATTTCTATGCTTAGAGAGATAGTAAGTTTGTAGTAGTTTTCAAAATACAGTTCATTTTCAAGGTGACTTTTCAGTGACGATGACACACCTGATTAAAAAAAAAAAGACAAAATGCGGACTGTTCTTTGTTATGTTGCACTGAGTTAGAACAATGTATTTATGACTGTCTTTCACACTTACGGGAGCAACGTTGGGATTGTTGGGACTCGCCAGCCCACAACACGGCATGATGGCAGCCACGAAGCCCATGACGATCTCAGCCAGAGCCAGCAGAACATTCACCACATGTAGGGCAATGGCTGGCGTTGCACAGTCATAGAACCGGTAACTGAGACGGAAACATATGTTTGTTTGAACCATTTTATTTATTCATGAGAAGCTTAAATTGGCCTGCAGGCCACTTTATATTAAAGTCATGAGGGAAGAGGTAAGGGTCAGACAAAACAAAAAAATCCAAAAACTAATTTTTCACAGAAAAACTAATAAATCATAAAAATAATTTTTACACATACATGGTACACAACACATACATTAAACAGTGAGAGCTGTCCCAGTGTTAAAACTGCCTTGTCTATGCAGTCATTTAAAACTTTGTGTTTACAATTGAGTGACGTCTGACCTCCAAACCCTTACGACCTGGCATGACCCCAATTGCGAGTATGGATAACGATTTTGATATTCATGTTTAATTTTCTTGTCTTGTTATACTGTATACACTGTCTCATTGTGTGTAATATATGTACCCAGGGCCACTCTGTACAGCAGTGGTAAGTCACTGATGAGTGCCACCCTGGTAAAAGAATACAGAAATAAATAAATAGTATTATGGTTCATGACTTGTCAACTCGTAAGTCCCATAATACTTGCATCTGTGGCCAGACATCTTATAGCAGACATCATCTTGTCACATTTGACTGTATTTGAAGCATAATTGAAGGCTAGGCAATTGTTTAATTAAGTCTCACCTTCTATAGCCATAGGGGTAATTGTAGTGATAGCTACAATTAAATGGATCAACAATAGCTCCAGCAACGCCGATGGAGAAGCAGCACAGCGCAGTCAAGATGGTGAAGATCCCCAGTATCATGACAGCCACCATCTATTAAACAAAACATCATGTTATAAAGGTAATAGACAAGTATGATGACATACTGGACAACACCCCTCATGGGGCATAGCGTCTCTTACAGTTGTATTCCACTGAGATCTATGTGAGAAGATAAAATTCAATTCTTCAGCTACAGATGAATACAAAATAGCACTGCAAATCCAGCTGCATTGTGTAAAAAACATTATAAAAGTGTTCTACTATTTTTTTTTCAACACAATTGAACTCACTGAATTTTCAACCAGTCCACTGGTCAGTTTTTGCTTAAAATAAATTAAATGCAAGAAAATTGTTTCCGACCATTTCCAAAAGAAATAGTGACTTTGGAAAAATTCGCCTGTATAACGCGTTTCAGGCTCTAAATCATAGGTTTTGCACGAAAAAAACGTCTACAATTACACTTAAATAGGAATCTGATTCTTCGGAACATATTTGTCCTGTCAGAAGTGTGGTACAAATGTATATGTCTGTCTGTATGTTCGTATGTCTGCATGCGTGTATATACAAATGTATAATATTATTAGAAGCAGTAACCTACCAGACCCTTGCTTGTTGGTTTTTTCCCACTGTTAATTGCCAAGATACCAGTTATGACAACCTGTGGAAAAGATATTCAACTTCATTACAAGTATGCATGTGTCAATGTGCCATATCCAGTGGTAAACTATATAGAAACAAGGCAATATTGTCACTGTTGACAAGAAAACAACACTATGAGGACAAATGACGGTATGAAAATACTATGACATTGGAAGTTGGAACTAAAAAAATATTCCAGTAAAGTTAGGACTACTTACAAAAATGCCATTCCAAATGGGTGCACTGATGTAGTGCAAGATTGTGAATGCGCCCATGGACCCAAACGCAGCGTCGGCGGCTATACCCAGGATAATGTTGAGAGTTCCCATCACCACAAGGGTCCAGCCCATGCCATGCATGTACTTCCCGTTGTACGCCATGGTTTACGGTAAACCAGTCCTGGATCGAAGTCTGTGAATAAAGTTACAAACATTTTACTTCCAGGAAGAGAATTGGAAGTATTGTTTTTGGTGGCTGAGCGGTGGGTTAATTGCGTTATAGATTTGTGTGTTTGCTTGTCAGGCAGAGTAGGTTGACAGCACTTGGGTTGGAGAAAGATTGACAGGCAGAATGACAGGAGGTCAAAAGGACACTGGAAACGGCTCTGACTGGGAGCCAGTGGAAATTAAAGATTGCATGATGGATATTCCAACACTGATCAGAGGTCTGAAATCACTGTGTTTAAGTGTTCCTTTTATATTTACTTTGTTGCTGTTACATACTTAGGCCACACCGGCTTAATTCTATGGATGACATCCGAATTTATTTTTTTTTATTCGCCGCGCGCACTAACTTGGGGGTCTTCAGAGGATGTCATCCATAAAATTAAGGCGGTGTGGCCTTACATACAGGTTAACTTGCTAATCCCCTAGGCCCTCTACACAAAGGTTTCAAAATGTTGTGAAACAAAAGATGGCTTTATGTTTACGAAATTTTTCAAGATAACGGTACTTATAGGATCTACAGAACCTGTAACAAACAGTATCATAATATACCATGGCATGTAACTGTTAGGCGTGACTAAATTTTCACGAAACAATATTTGCCATATAGAACTCTTCAAGGGCTTATAGCACCATCTTTGAACCAAATCATGTCACAGTTTGCTCTCACTACAGTCTTTACGTGGCTAAAAGGGGTACAAGAACGCTATAAACGCCTTATTTTCCCTGTGACGCACCTTGAGTTGTGAAGCTTGCCAGCACAAAATGTCTGCCACTTCCGGGTGTGGTGACGTCACACCCAGTGACGTACTATATTTAATAGGGTTGTTGCTGACAAGGCCTAGGAAAAAATGTTGTTTCCTGTTTTCCGACCACCATGAAATACGCAATACTTTGTGTTGATGCATGACTTATATCCAATGTTCCAGTTCCTTCTCTTAAATAGTACTAGTGAGTTCAGCTCCCAGTCTAGAGAGCCACGAAGTTATACGGCTTTACAATACGAGTGAATAGACCAAAAGCGGCCTCGAGCAGTTTAATGAAGGACTGCACCGTAACAATGGGCAAGAGGCTCCTGTTGCAGTGATTTCTCTAAAAGAAAAGAAAAGATGCCAATGACAGATTGTATCCTTCTGGAAGAAATGAAAGAAGGGGGCGGGGTTCGGTAGGAAAAGGAGCTAAGATACACATACCCAAAATCCAAGTAGCATATTTATTCAATCCAAAGTTTTTGTAAAAATGATCATATTGTAAGGAAACATTGTTCACACCACAATGCAACGTATATACAGTCTTCACTCTTTACTGTTGTATTTGAAATCTAGCAAAATATGTTATATCATCTCTATAAATTATATATATATATAGAATGCAAATGAATTGTGCTAGATCTCATTGTGCAAAACTGTACTGCATGTCACGTACAGATAGCTGTTTGGCAACTTGGCAACTGTCGCATTAACAGTTAAATGTTTCCTTATCACTGTTTCTGGTCTTATAAAAGTCCACACTTGGTCCCTTAAAATCATCTTAATATTGTTACTTTTCCATATTCATCCATATTTTCTATACCAATTGTTACAAACACAGTAAGTTATACTTCAAGACAGTATTGGGTAGCTACATCAGAGAGTCAAAATGAAATACATGTAATGTTACATTGTATTGTGCATGAATATAGTAAAATTTAGAATGCACACATCATTATTTAACAGTATCTTATTAGGGCTTACAGTAACACTTTCCAATTTTATGGAGGTGTGATCACTATTCTACCCAAATACTAATTGTTACATAAGACTTAAGTTACCTGTAATGTACCAAGTTACTTGTAATGTACCATTTGTTACGCATTCTCACAAAAATAGACAATATAAAAATAGACAATATATAACTTACAAAACTGTTACCAAATGCAGAACAAAAACCGATACAGCAAACCTTTGACACAAACACAAAAAGGCAGGCTAGAAGACCATTAGCAACAATGATTTTT